CCAATCGACAGTCCAGCCCGACAGGCTGGAGCACCGGACCAGCTGGCTAGCCACCAGCCCAACAGCTCTCCAGGGCAACGTAGGTTCTACCCGCTGAAAGGGATTCTCGCAGTAGGATCGGCAATCGATTTTGCCCCGTTAGATTTTACTTTTTCGCATGGCCACAAGGAAAACATTCAGGTCAATCGCCTGATCGTACGTGTAACTGTTGTTCATCGTTTTTGGCCAAGGAAAATACTGCATACTTTGCTCAATCGATCTTTCTGTCAATGCGGAACGTTAAGATCTTCGTAATTTTGTAAAACAAAAAAAAAAAACGTTTCTTTCTTTTAGCTTAAACCACTCCTGTTCACTCATTTTTTAAAAAAATTTTATAATTCGTTGTATTTTTTTTGTATTTTTGTATTTTATACTTTATTACACATAAATCATGATTAATATCGATCTCCACTAATATTTTTAGAAGGCTTAAAGTACATACCAGTACTCCAAATAGTATTTTAGAACAAGTTATCCTCCTGCTGACAGATTCACGCAACAGTTTGCTGGCTCAGACAAAACTTATCAAACAAAACGAAAGACATATGCTGCCTGAGCAGATTACTGCCAGAATACGGCAAAATTTAGCCATTCTTGCCCTGTAACATCAGACCTGAAGCCACTACTTAGAAATCATGTTCTAATTTAATACCTCTTGGCTTGTATTTTCGATAAATTCGGCTAACACCAAAAATATGAAATTTCCTTAAATTCAAAAAAAAAAAAAAGCAAACAGAGGCCAAAGCAAGGAAATTCAGACAAACTCTAAGCCACCAGCATACAGTTTTACCAAACCAATCACATCAACAGCCACAATAAGGCCTAGTGGATATGCTAAATTTCACAGCACTAACATTTGAACGGTCTTTCGCATCCTTACTGGTCGTTCCAACGGCAGTTCCTCCTTTTTCTTTCATTTTTTCATTTTTTATTTGTTCAAGAAATGCTGGCCAAGCCAGCGAATCCATTATTCGTTGTTTCTTTGCTTCTTTTTCTACATCCAACTAAAAAATACCTTTAAAAAAAATGCTAAAATCAGTAGTTACGTGAAACAGATCAATCAAACTATAGTTAAAATCAAGTCGATATTCGCAGAGATACACAGAATTAGTGCTATATGTCAATAACTATCGGCGGCTTCCTCTTTCCAAGGTAGTTTAGAAGCAAGCTGATTGCAAGTTTGACTTAAATTTGTCAAAAAACAAACAAATAAACTGTACAAGAACTAGCTGTTCCACCAACAAAGTCGAATCCTCGAAACTAAGCACGACAGCAATGCAACTTGTCACTTCTCTGTGCCAAATTAGCAAGGAATTATTCATTAAATCAAAAAAAAAAAAAACAGTCATTTCTGCATACATATCGCAAAAATCGGTCAAAAATTTCTAACTTCTCTTTTCCTCTTTTTCTCTTTATTTCATTCCTTCTTATTATAACTTTCTATTACTAAAATGTTCTTTCTTTCTCGACCCCTCCCCCC